TGGAAACGAGAAGTCTTCCTTGTGTCCATTCTCCTTGAAGACAGGTTTACTTCTGACGCCAGTTGTAAAGTAGTAACTCGGCAGGAGACGACTTCACGGGTAGCACACTCTTTATTTTCACCAACTTGTAGTTACACGGATGACTAACACCCTACTTCGTTACACGGGTGACCAACACCCACTTAGCTACACGGGTGACGGACACCCACTCAGCTACAACTTCGTTACACGGGTGACCAACACCCACTTAGCTACACGGGTGACCAACACCCACTCAGCTACACGGGTGACCAACACCCACTCAGCTACACGGGTGACTAACACCCACTCAGCTACACGGGTGACCAACACCCACTCAGCTACACGGGTGACTAACACCCACTCAGCTACACGGGTGACCAACACCCACTCAGCTGTACTGACACGGGCTCTTACGCCCCGTAGCCTTCCGGGACACACCCAGCCGGGGTGCCCGTCTCGGCTCTGGGTACCACCGTCCCGACCCACACGGGCGTCGGACTACGGTCCCCCCCAGTCTCGGCTCCGAGCCACACAGGGCCCCGGTCCCCACAAGGACGGCGGGACTAGGGGTCTCGGGCCCCTACCTCCTCCACCCCGTCTTCGGTCTTCAACTGGTTAACACTGACCACGAGTGCTCTCGCGCGTCCCCCTTTATACCCCTCCTGCGGACGTCGCTGAGAGTACACACTTATCTGACCAATTACTGCGCACTCGCTACGATCCTCTTTTCCCAGCTTGTGTGAGCGCGCCTCACCACCGGCGCGCGCGTCCATGCCACGCCCACATCGCGTGCCCAACCCCGCGCCCCGTGATCCATCACTGCCGGCGCACGTCAATACCACCACTACACATAGAACCTCTGTCTTGGAGAAGTCAATGTCATGTGAGCCCACTGAATTGTAACAGTGATCTGCCACGCCTGAGGTGTTTGTCCTACCGTGTTTCAGGTCTGCTTTATGTTCACGGATGCGGTCCGAGACATGTCGTTTGGTTTCTCCAATGCAACTGCTACCACAGAGGAAACTTAGTTTGTATTCTCCGCAGGGAATGGATTTTTTGCTCCGCTGCGGGTCTCCTGCCACCGCTCTCCCATTGACATGTTTCGTTGCTTTTACATACTATTAACATTCCCTCCCTTTGTTAATGCTACCCCCTCCCTTTGATGCTGCTAATCCTGCATAATGCATGGGCATAATATGACTTTGAAAACCCCCCGCCCACCTCCTACACATTTACCATAAATATGCTAAATTCCTATTGATTTGTTAGTTATTTTGTCAAGGCGCTCTTCTTCCACCTCCAACCCAGCTTATATATACGCTCCAAGCTTGGCAGTGTACCATTCTTCACCTGAAGAAGGCCGCTTGCGTTGTAGCCGAAACGTCGTGAGAATTATTTTATTATGTTTTATTTTTATTATTTTATTACTTCCCTTCTACGTGACTTTACCGAAAAAACCAAGAAGATGAATCCTTGCAGTCACGAAAGCTTTAAATTAAAACTTGTTAAAGGAGTTTATTTGTTTTTAGAAAGTTTCAATAGACCGAATAAACCTTCGAATTGCGAAAGGGTCAGTTGAAGACACTGATAAAAACAGATTTGCCGATTCAAATGTTGAATTTGGACTGTTTCATGAGCACCCCGATGCGTGTTTGTTCTGCTGCTTCCACGCCGATATGGTACCACCCAATACGCCCATATGAAGAGGTTTGCAGAGATCCGGCAACTGTTGGCAGCCCTGGCTCCTCCGCGCCCGTCTCTGGCTCCTCCTCGGAATCGCCCCCCACTCTCGTGGTGGCTATGAGATGTTAACGACCTCGCCTAGTATGCAAGAGGTCGTGGGTTAGATCCCGACCCTGACGCCTGCTGCTGTGTATTTGGAGTTTGCGTGTCTCTCCCCGTGGTCGCGTCCACATTTAGAATCAACATCACGCGTTACAAGAGTATTTTCCTGCTGCTATAAATGTCCACATTATGATGATGATGATGATGATAAGCCACCACTTCGATGAGCTGTCATTTGTGGTGGCCAGGTCACTACTGAAAAAGTAGGACAAAGCTCAGTGCGCCTTACCTGGTAAAATAAAATATATTCACTACTAGAATGAGCCAAGAATCTGTGTGTCCCGTGCGTGACGTCACTCCACGTCGGCCAGCCCCCCTCATTAATAATCATGAACAGGTGACGTCCTCCACACGGACCCCCCCCCCCCTCATTAATAATCATGAGCAGGTGACGTCACTCCACATCGAACAGCCCCCCCCATTAATAATCATGAAGAGGTGACGTCCTCCAAATGGACACCCCCCCCTCCATTAATAATAACTAGCGGGTGACGTCACTCCACATGAGGGAGGGGCGAGGCGCCTCCTCCCTCCTCCTCAGCGTCAACTTACAACCCTCACTATAAAGTCAGAACCCTCACGTCACGCGATCTCCGTCAAGCTGTTGAGACATCAGAGTAAAAAGGACGTCATGATGAACAAGGGATTACAACTTTACATGAAATAGGTCTGTGTCACCGCGACCTTACTAATTGCACACACATTAATACAGTGAATATATCACGTCGCTCTTGGACGGGCAAAGGACGAATTGTTAAATAGTTTACTAGTCTGTCCATCTGAACCGGTTTTCAGTAAGTACTGAACGGTACAGCGCGGTAGTAGTAATAATACACACAATAATACTACACACAATAATACACACAATAATATACAATAATACACACAATAATACACAATAATAAACACAAGAATAACAACACAATAATACACAATTATAAACACAAGAATAACAACACAATAATACACAATAATACGCACAATAATAATACACACAATAATACACGCACTAATACACACAATGATACACAATAATACACACAAATATACACACTTATACACAATAATATACAACAATACACAATAATTCACAATAATACACACAATAATACACGCAATAATATACAATAATACACAATAATACACACACAAATAACAATTCACAATAATACACACAATAATAATACACACAATAATACACACAATAATATACAATAATACACACAATACACACAAATAACAATAATTCACAATAATAATACACACAATAATACACAATACAATAATACACACAATCATAACAAGAATACACAAGAATACACACAATAATAACAATCATTCACAATAATAATACACACAATAATCCACACAATAATATATAATAATACACAATAATAATCTACAATAATAATGCACAATAATAACAACAAGACAAAGATCCCTCTATAGCCTTAACAGACTGTTGGGGCAAGTGCTGTTAGCGAGCACTTATGAAGACCGGCACGGCACACGAGGTGAGTGGCCAGCACCACGCCCGGCCGCCTTTTCTCCCCAATGACGATGTTTACACACCGCACCAGGTACTCATTTTAGGCTGAGTCGACCTTGGGGAGGCCCAGGACCGGTTCAGATAATCGCCGGGTTAGAAGCGCTGCGAAGTACTAACCGCTTCCCACAATAATACACCATAATAACAACACAATAATAACACAATAATAACAACACAAGAATAACAACAGCAATACACAATAACAACATAATAATACAATAATAATAACAACACAATAACAACAGCACAATAATAACAACACAATAATAACAACACAATAATAACAACAACAGAACACTGTGCAAGCGATCAATGCGCGCAATTGCGAAGGGCGCAGTTGCAACGAATCTGATATCGCGATAATCGCCATATCGTGGATCTCCACATCGCGATACGATATTGCGTGACGTCACGGCCGAAACCACCCCCACCACCTTGGGTCTCACCCTCACGCGGTGCCGTCAATCAACCGAGGCAGCCTTCCCGTTGGCTGCCTGCCTCGCGCCACCAGTCGGAGGGGGGCGGGGCCCGCGGAGGGGGCGGGGCGAGGCGCTTGAGAGTAAAAGTCGCTCGCGCCGGAGATTCCGGGAGAGACGCGGGGAGAGAGAGACACGGGGAGAGAGACACGGGGAGAGAGACACGGGGAGAGAGACACGGGGAGAGAGAGACACGGGAGAGAGAGACACGGGGAGAGAGACACGGGGAGAGAGAGACACGGGGAGAGAGAGACACGGGGAGAGAGAGACACGGGGAGAGAGAGACACGGGGAGAGAGAGACACGGGGAGAGAGAGACACGGGGAGAGAGAGACACGGGGAGAGAGAGACACGGGGAGAGAGAGACACGGGGAGAGAGAGACACGGGGAGAGAGAGACACGGGGAGAGAGAGACACGGGGAGAGAGAGACACGGGGAGAGAGAGACACGGGGAGAGAGAGACACGGGGAGAGAGAGACACGGGGAGAGAGAGACACGGGGAGAGAGAGACACGGGGAGAGAGAGACACGGGGAGAGAGAGACACGGGAGAGAGAGACACGGGGAGAGAGAGACACGGGGAGAGAGAGACACGGGGAGAGAGAGACACGGGGAGAGAGAGACACGGGGAGAGAGAGACACGGGGAGAGAGAGACACGGGGAGAGAGAGACACGGGGAGAGAGAGACACGGGGAGAGAGAGACACGGGGAGAGAGAGACACGGGGAGAGAGAGACACGGGGAGAGAGAGACACGGGGAGAGAGAGACACGGGGAGAGAGAGACACGGGGAGAGAGAGACACGGGGAGAGAGAGACACGGGGAGAGAGAGACACGGGGAGAGAGAGACACGGGGAGAGAGAGACACGGGGAGAGAGAGACACGGGGAGAGAGAGACACGGGGAGAGAGAGACACGGGGAGAGAGAGACACGGGAGAGAGAGACACGGGGAGAGAGAGACACGGGGAGAGAGACACGGGAGAGAGAGACACGGGGAGAGAGACACGGGGAGAGAGACACGGGGAGAGAGACACGGGGGAGAGAGAGACACGGGAGAGAGACGACACGGGGAGACACACGGGGAGAGAGACACGGGGAGAGAGACACGGGGAGAGAGACACGGGGAGACACACGGGGAGAGAGACACGGGGAGAGAGAGACACGGGGAGAGAGAGACACGGAGAGAGAGAGACACGGGGAGAGAGAGACACGGGGAGAGAGACACACGGGGAGAGAGACACACGGGGAGAGAGAGACACGGGGAAACAGGGTAGCGAATACACGGGGAGCAGAGACACTGGGACACAGGGAGACACGGGGACGCAGGGGGACACGGGGACACAGGGAGACACGGGGACACAGGGAGCCACGGGGACAGAGAGAGACGGAGACCTGAGGCCACGCGTCGCCCCTGCCAAGGTGAGTCCCCTCGCTTGTGAGGAAGAACACGCGCCCTGCCGAAACGTCGCAGTCACCCACACTCACAGTCACCCACACTCACAGTCACCCACACTCGCAGTCACCCACACTCACAGTCACCCACACACTCACAGTCACCCACACTCACAGTCACCCACACACACAGTCACCCACACTCACAGTCACCCACACTCACAGTCACCCACACTCACAGTCACCCACACACACAGTCACCCACACTCACAGTCACCCACACTCGCAGTCACCCACACTCGCAGTCACCCACACTCACAGTCACCCACACACTCACAGTCACCCACACTCACAGTCACCCACACACACAGTCACCCACACTCACAGTCACACACACTCACAGTCACCCACACTCACAGTCACCCACACTCACAGTCACCCACACTCACAGTCACCCACACACTCACAGTCACCCACACTCACAGTCACCCACACACACAGTCACCCACACACTCACAGTCACCCACACACTCACAGTCACCCACACACACAGTCACCCACACACTCACAGTCACCCACACACACACAGTCACCCACACACTCACAGTCACCCACACTCACAGTCACCCACACACTCACAGTCACCCACACACACACAGTCACCCACACACACACAGTCACCCACACACTCACAGTCACCCACACACTCACAGTCACCCACACTCACAGTCACCCACACTCACAGTCACCCACACACACACAGTCACCCACACACACACAGTCACCCACACTCACAGTCACCCACACTCACAGTCACCCACACTCACAGTCACCCACACTCAGTCACCCACACACACAGTCACCCACACACACACAGTCACCCACACTCAGTCACCCACACTCAGTCACCCACACACACAGTCACCCACACTCACAGTCACCCACACACACAGTCACCCACACTCACAGTCACCCACACACTCACATTCACCCACACCCAGTCATTCACACACAGTCACTCACAGTCACCCACACAATCACAGTCACCCACACTCACAGTCACCCACACACTCACAGTCACCCACACACACAGTCACCCACACTCACAGTCACCCACACACTCACAGTCACCCACACACAGTCATTCACACACAGTCACTCACAGTCACCCACACAATCACAGTCACCCACACACTCACAGTCACCCACACACTCACAGTCACCCACACTCACAGTCACCCACACACTCACAGTCACTCACACACTCACAGTCACCCACACTCACAGTCACCCACACTCACAGTCACCCACACACTCACAGTCACCCACACACTCACAGTCACCCACACACTCACAGTCACCCACACACACACAGTCACCCATACTCACAGTCACCCACACACTCACAGTCACCCACACACACAGTCACCCACACTCACAGTCACCCACACACTCACAGTCACCCACACACAGTCATTCACACACAGTCACAGTCACCCACACAATCACAGTCACCCACACACTCACAGTCACCCACACACTCACAGTCACCCACACTCACAGTCACCCACACTCACAGTCACCCACACACTCACAGTCACCCACACACTCACAGTCAACCACACACACACAGTCAACCACACACTCACAGTCACCCACACACTCACAGTCAACCACACATTCACAGTCACCCACACACTCACAGTCAACCACACACACACATTCACCCACACACTCACAGTCACCCACACACTCAGTCAACCACACACTCACAGTCAACCACACACTCACAGTCACCCACACTCAGTCACCCACACTCACAATCACCCACACACAGTGACCCACACACTCACAGTTACACACACAGTCACCCACAGTCACCCACACTCAGTCACCCACACACTCACAGTCACCCACACTCATAGTCACCAACACTCACAGTCATTCACACACAGTCACTCACAGTCACCCACACAATCACAGTCACCCACACTCACAGTCACCCACACACTCACAGTCACCCACACACTCACAGTCACCCACACACAGTGACCCACACTCACAGTCACCCACACTCACAGTCACCCACACTCACAGTCACCCACACTCACAGTCACCCACACACAGTGATCCACACACTCACAGTTACCCACACACACACAGTCAACCACACACACACAGTCACCCACACTCACAGTCACCCACACTCACAGTCACCCACAACAACAACAACAACCGCCATTCGCCACTAAGTGGCGGTGACGTCACCACGATGCTTGTGCCAGGCCAAGTGCACCTTGAGGCCACGTGAAGTGTCGAAAGCCCGCTGGCAGGAGGTCACGGGGCAGACCCAGGTGCCACTGGTCGACTGACCGAGATGACCGAGATGACTGGCTGATGCACCACCTGTGCCCCCTACTGTGCCAACTTGCTGTGCTTTAGCCACCCGGCGCTCCGCTCGTTGTTGTGAGCGTCGCTCCTCCGCCCTCCGTTGTTGTTGGAGGGCGACTGCCTCCAACTGCCCAGTAGCGTCCTTCACGAGCCTCCTCCACTGAGGCCGATCTTGACACCGCTGGTACCAGTCATCGGCAAGTCCACTCAGCTCCACGTCCTCCTGTACCACATCACTCCATCTCTTCTCCAGCCCGTGCCGCGCCCGTCTAGCCCCCTCGATCCGGCCGAACAAAAGCTGTTTAGGCATGCGGTGGCTGGGCATGCGGGCTACATGACCCAGCCAACGCAGCCTTGCCTGCCGGAGGAGCTCACTGATGGGACTTTGCCCAGATCTTTCAAGGATTTGTGAGCTCCTCACACAATCCAGCCTGGTTAAACCCAGGATGGATCGTAGGCAGGCCAGCCTAAATGTTTCCAACCGGCGAAGATGCTCCACCAGGGGGGTCCACGTCTCGCAAGCGTAGAGAAGGGAGGGAATGACCGTGGCCGAGAAGACCTGAAGCTTCGTGCGGAGCGACAGACCAGGTAGCTTCCACACAGCGTTACGCAACCGATGAAAAGATATTGCCGCTCGACTGATTCGGAGTGAGACCTCTGCTGATAGACTGGAGCCGGTCATAAGCACACTGCCCAGGTATGGGAAACTCTCCACTCTCTCCACAACTGCCCCATCACCAATTGGGAGTTGTGGGGGTGGAGTGTCCGATGGTACAAAATACCCAGGCAGGTGCTTGGTTTTGGTGGGGCTGATGGTAAGGCCCCACCTCTTAGTGGCACGCTCCAGTCTCAGCAGCAGCGCCTCCAACTCCTCTTCTGAATGAGCAGCTATTACCAAATCATCGGCATACATAACGTGGTTGACCAATAGGGAGCCATCCCTTGATCGCACCCGGGCGTCGATCAGCCTCCCATTATATCTGTACCAAACGGAAATTCCCCCGGTACAGCTATTGAAGGCTTCACGAACTACGCGGTCAAAATAGATGTTAAATAATGTGGGAGCCAGAGGACATCCCTGTCGCACCCCAAGGTGTACAGGGAAAGGCTCCGACTCCCGGCCACGTAGTTTTACCCGGGCCCGCTCACCATCATGAAGGTCCTTAATGATCGTGAGCAGAGGGTCAGGGACTCCGAAAGCACGAAGAACAACCCAGAGTCCAGTCCTACTGATGGTATCATAGGCCTTGACCAGGTCAATAAAGCAGAGATGTAGGTCTTTTTGGAATTCCCTACACCTCTGCTGTAGCAGACGGACAGAAAATATGGCATCTGTGCAGGACCGCCCTTTCCTGAAACCGCATTGGGGCTCCGCAAGCCCCTCCTCAGCGTGCCTAGCAAGGCGATGTTGAATAATCCTTGCCAGGACCTTACCCGGCACACTGAGGAGTGAGATGCCCCTGTAGTTGTTACAGTCTGTGCGGTCCCCCTTCTTAAAGAGGGGGACCACCAGGGCATCCTTCCAGTCCTGCGGAACCCGTCCAGTGGTCCAGACTGTTGTTATGATGTCATATAGGGCAGTCTGTGCACAAACGCCACCCTCCCTCAGCATTTCGCTTGGGAGATCATCTCTGCCCGGTGCCTTCCCTGGTCTCAGACTCCGGATCGCCCTCAGTACTTCCTCAACAGCTGGAACCTCAGCCAGCCACTCACAGGGGGTGACCTCTTCCAATATTTGAGGCACCGCAGCCTCAGCAGGGTTATCCCCACTTTGTGCCATGATGTTTTCCTGGCTGAGAGAATTTCCCTCCCCCAGGACCTCACAGAAATGCTCAGCAAATCTGCAAACCTGTTCCTGGGGGTCGGAGATTGGATCACCGTTTTTTCCTCTAATGATGGTAATAGGTGTGGCGCTGCAGGTTACTTTTTTGATGGAGTTAAATAGTGATTTGTGATCACGGGCCACTGAGGCAGACTCCATCTCCTCAGCAACCCGCGACCACCACCCATCCTTACAACGCCTTACGGCTCTCCGAACTTCCGAGCGAAGGCTGCGGTAAACCTCCTCATTCTCTGACGTGGGATGCTGTAGGCGATGAGAGTGGGCCTGTCGCTTTTTCTCAATTAACCTGAACACCTCCTCTGTCAGCCAGGGTTTCTGGGGAGGTCTGGACCGCGTACCCAAAGCAGCCATTGCAGCTGCATGAGTCACAGTCCTATACCTCGCCCATTTACCCTCGACATCAGGTGGAGTGGGGGACGATGCCAACCCCAGCTGCAAGCGATGATGAAATTCTCGCTTGCAACTTTCATCAGCTAACTGAGACCAGGCCACTTTTGGTTGGAATGGGATCCTGGGTGTACACCCACCACCGGAGTGGAAGAAAGGCAGGCGCATCTTACAGATGACTAGTCGATGGTCAGAGGACAGATCAGCTCCACGGTAGGTCCTGGTGTCAAGGACATGGGTTCGCATCCGCTGGTCCGTCACTATGTAGTCCAGCAGATGTTCTTGCTTGGACCCGGCATGTATCCATGATGTTGTGTGGATGCGCCGATGCCGGAAGAGCGTGTTGGTAATTACAAGCCCATGGGCTGCACAAAAATCTAGCAGCCTCCTACCGTTATTATTGAGCTGATCTGGCCCATGCCTTCCAATCACTCCAGACCAGGTGTCAGCATCATGACCAACTCGGGCATTGAAGTCACCCAACAAGATGACTCTGTCCCGAGTGGCCACTTTAGCCAGCACCTGTGACAGGAGGTCATAGAAAGCGTCTGACTCATCGGCTTTGCTTGCATCCCTCCACGGATGTTCGTCTTCGGTGGGGGCATAAGTAACCACGACCACCACTCCTCGCCTCTGGTTGATGGGAAGGCGAGCCCAAAGTATCCTGGGGCTTACAGCTTCCCACACCTCACCGCCACGCTCCCACGCCCCCTTCATTCTTTTGTTCAGAAGAAGAGCCACACCCTGTTGTTTGGCAGTCTCCTGCCCCGAGTAGAGGACTGTCCACCCCTCATGGTGGCAGGAGCCAGAACCGGTCCACCGGACCTCCTGAATGCCACAGAGATCCAGGCGGTACCGGTCCAGCTCCCGACAGAGGAGTGGCAGCCTCTCCTCCGCAGTGAGCGTTCGAACATTCCACGTGGCCATCCGCAATGGTTTTTTGTTTCTGGAGGAGCCCCGAGGGTGAAAATTCAATCTCCTGGCTCCGCCAAATGGGGTTTGGCCACACACTCACAGTCACCCACACACTCACAGTCACCCACACACACACAGTCACCCACACACTCAGTCACCCACACACATTCACCCACACACTCACAGTCACCCACACACAGTGACCCACACACTCACAGTTACCCACACACACAGTCAACCACAACAACAACAACCGTCATTCGCCACTAAGTGGCGGTGACGTCACCACGACGCTTGTGCCAGGCCATGTGCACCTTGAGGCCACGTGAAGTGTCGAACGCCCGCTGGCAGGAGGTCACGGTGCAGACCCAGGTGCCACGGGTCGACTGACCGAGATGACCGAGATGACTGAGATGACTGGCTGATGCGCCACCTGTGCCCCCTACTGTACCAACTTGCTGTGCTTTAGCCACCCGGCGCTCCGCTCGTTGTTGTGAGCGTCGCTCCTCCGCCCTCCGTTGTTGTTGGAGGGCGACTGCCTCCAACTGCCCAGTAGCGTCCTTCACGAGCCTCCTCCACTGAGGCCGATCTTGACACCGCTGGTACCAGTCATCGGCAAGTCCACTCAGCTCCACGTCCTCCTGTACCACATCACTCCATCTCTTCTCTAGCCCGTGCCGCGCCCGTTTAGCCCCCTCGATCCGGCCGAACAAAAGCTGTTTAGGCATGCGGTGGCTGGGCATGCGGGCTACATGACCCAGCCAACGCAGCCTTGCCTGCCGGAGGAGCTCACCGATGGGACTTTGCCCAGATCTTTCAAGGGCTTGTGAGCTCGTCACACAATCCAGCCTGGTTAAACCCAGGATGGATCGTAGGCAGGCCAGCCTAAATGTTTCCAACCGGCGAAGTCACCCACACACAGTCACCCACACTCACAGTCACCCACACACACACAGTCACCCACAACAACTGCAACCGCCATTTGCCACTAAGTGGCGGTGACGTCACCACGACGCTTGTGCCAGGCCATGTGCACCTTGAGGCCATGTGAAGTGTCGAACGCCCGCTGGCAGGAGGTCACGGGGCAGACCCAGGTGCCATGGGACGACTGACCGAGATGACTGAGATGACTGGCTGATGCACCACCTGTGCCCCCTACTGTGCCAACTTGCTGTGCTTTAGCCACCCGGCGCTCCGCTCATTGTTGTGAGCGTCGCTCATCCACCCTCCATTATTGGAGGGCGACTGCCTCCAACTGCCCAGTAGCGTCTTTCACGAGCCTCCTCCACAGAGGCCGATCTTGACATCGCTGGTACCAGTCATTGGCAAGTCCACTCAGCTCCACGTCCTCCTGTACCACATCACTCCATCTTTTCTCTCGCCCGTGCCGTGCCCATTTAGCCCCCTCGATCCGGCCAAACAAAAGCTTTTCAGGCATGTGGTGGCTGGGCATGTGGGCTACATGACCCAGCCAATGCAGCCGTGCCTCTCGGGCAGCTCACCGATGGGACTTTTTCCACATCTTTCAAGGATTTGAGAGCTCACACAATCCAGCCTGGTGAAACCCAGGATAGATTGTAGGCAGACCAGTCTAAATGTTTATAACCAGCAAAAATGTTCCCTTAGGGGGATCCACGTTCTGCAAGCGTAGAGAAGGGAGGGAATGACTGGCCGAGAAGACCTGAAGCTTTGTGTGGAGCGATAGACCAGGTAGCTTCCACACAGCGTTACGCAACCGATGAAAAAATAATGCCACTCGACTGATTCGGAGTGAGACCTCTGCTGTTAAACCAGAGCCGGTCATGAGCACACTGCCAAGGTTTGGGAAACTCTCCACTCTCTCCACAACTGCTGTGGGGGTGGAGTGTCCGATGGTACAAAATACCCAGACAGTTACCCACACACTCGCAGTCACCCATACACTCAACCACCCACCCACTCACCCCCCACTCACCCACACACACATGCCCCCCACTCACCCCCCACACACCGACCCACTCGCCCATACAATCACCTCCCCCCCCACCACACACCCACCCACTCACACCGTCAGACACTCACCCACACAGGCACACACACACCCATCCATTCACTCACACACCCACTCACACACCCACTCACCCAGTCACCCCCCACTCACACACTCACTCACCCACACACCCATCCATTCACCCCCCCACACACCCACCCACCCACTCACACACCCACTCACCCACACACCCGCCCACTCGCCCACTCACCCACCCACTTACACCCCACACAGTCACACACTCGCCCACTCACCCCCCACACATCTACCCACTCACCCCGTGATGTGTCCGCCCCTGCCGTGTCCCCATGTCTATCAGGATGCTGGAGTCCCTGTCGGGCCTGCCCCTGCCCCTTGACCCGATGACCTTGACCCTGTCCCTGCCGCTGCTACTCTTTGCGTACTACTGGCTCTTCCAGCCGTCGGCATTCCTCTACCTGCACGACTGGTGGGTGACCCCTCGCGCCCTCACCCCACACTCACGCCACGCTCACCCCACACTCACCCCACACTCACCCCACACTCACCCCACACTCACCCCACACTCACCCCACACTCACCACACACTCACCCTATCATCATCCCCACACTCACCCCGCACTCACCCTATCATCCTGGCCTCACCCCACACTCACCCCACACTCACCCTGTCATCATCCTGCCCTCACTCCACACCCCACCCTCGTCTTTTTGACACCCTGACCCCACCCTGACCCCACTGACTTTACCCCGAGCCCCGTGCCCACGATGTGACCCCTCCCCACCCCCCCTGCTGGGGTGGTGCCGAGTGTCCCCTGCAGGCCGCACAGGGACGGCTGCCACTGGGGAGGGTCCTCTTAAGCCACAGCGTCCCCGCGTGTCTGCACCACTCACCATGACGGTGTCTCCGTGTGCCCCCCACCCCTCTGTGTCCATTTGTGTCCACCCCATGCCCCCCGTCCCGTGTTCCCCTTCCCCTGTCAGGTACTGGCGAACCCAGCTGGGCTTCCAGATACGCGAGTGCCACTGTGGGGCCTTCACGTTTTGCTACTCGGAGCTGGGCCGGCGTGCCGGCGGCGGCGATGGTGGTGGTGGTGCCACCGGAACACGGCCCAGCCTCCTTTTCCTGCACGCGTTCTCCGCCAACAAGGACATGTGGCTGCCCCTGCTGCGGGTGAGGGTGCGGCGCCGGTTGGTGGGGGTGCGGGGGTGGTGGCTCGGGGTTGTGACTTGGGGCGGTGGCTCAGGGTGGTAGTGCAGGGGTAGTGGCTCGTGGTGGTAGTAGTGTAGGGTGGTGGTAATGCTCGGTGGTGGCTTGGGGTGGTGGCTCAGGGTGGTAGTGCCGAGGCGGTGGTGCAGGGTGGCACAAGGTGGTGGCGCAGTGATGACGCTTGTGCCTCACAGCAGTAAGTTCTGTAGAGTGTGTGCGTGAATGAGTGTCGAGTTTGTGGTGCTTGTTGACCACGGTGTATAAGATAGCAAAGTGTCTGGCAGCAACAGTTGGAGGAGGAATCGGCACGTTAAGTTTACGGGAACAGTGAAAGCGGTAGCAGCGCTAGAAGAGTGACCATGTAGGTGACTGACCACTGCATGGTTGGGGTGGGGGGGGTGTGTCTTTGTCTCCGCAGTTCCTGCCACGTGACCGCCACGTGGTGTGTGTGGACATGCCGGGTCACGAAGGGACGACGCGCGCACATGGTGACGACTACTCCCTGCAGGGGCAAGTCATCCGCATCAAGCAGGTGGGGTGTGTGGGGGTGTGCGCGCGTGGTGGTGCACGCTGCGCTACGGACCCGGCAACCCGAGTTTGATTCCCAATAACGGCCAATAACAGTGACGAATATTTGAACCGGGAAGACAAAGTTCGGCCGGGCGTGGTGCTGGTCCCCCACCCTCTCGTGTGTCGCGCCGGCCTTCATGGGCGTCGCTCGCTGACGGCACTTGCCACTACAGTCTGTTAAGAGGCTTCTCGGGGGACCTTTGTAGCGTGCGTGACGATCGCGAGCTCTCTAACCCACGCTGCCCTGCACAGTTTGTGGCTGCGGTGGGGCTGGACGCGGCTCCGTTCCATCTCCTGGGCACGTCCATGGGTGGCGGCGTCGCTGGTGTCTACGCAGCCACCCACCCCGGGGATGTCCACACACTCACTCTCATTTGTCCCGCCGGTGGGTGCAGTGCCACACGCAGCACAACACTCATGGTGCGACACGCAGCCTCGCTCACTCACAGCGCCGCACTCACGGGCGCCATGCTCATCGTGGCGGTGACGTGCCCATGGAACCGGCGTGACAGTGAACATGTCGGCACCACGCCGCGGTCCCCCCGCCCCTCCCAGGTCTGGATGCGCCGACGGAGAGCCGCTTCGTGGGGGAGCTGCGGGCAGCCGAGGCCGCGGGCGATTTCACCGGCGTCTCCCTGATCCCGCGCTCGCCTGCGCAGGTGGCACGCATGCTGCAGCTGGTGACGTACAGCTTCAAGCTGCCGCAGCAGGTGCGAAGTGCAGATGCGCCCGTAGGCTCACATGGACCCCTGCAGACGCACACAGAGACCCATAGACTCACACAGAGACCCATAGACTCACACAGAGACCCATAGACTCACACAGAGACCCATAGACTCACACAGAGACCCATAGACTCACACAGAGACCCATAGACTCACACGGAGACCCATAGACTCACACAGAGACCCATAGACTCACACAGAAACCCATAGACTCACACAAAAACCCACAAACTCACACAGAGACCCATAGACTCACCACACAGAAACGTCCATGCCATCGCTAGGCATTATCTCGCCATGTGGCTTGGGGCATGACATAGTGGACAACCACAGCTAGTCCACCCCCATGTGAGCGAACATTGCGTGCGTATTCTGGCGAGCATTAATGGGTGAGCGTGGGCGAGCGTTGCGGCCGAGCGTGGGTGAGTGTTGCAGGTGAGCGTGGGCGAGCATTGCGGGAGAGCATGGGTGAGCGTTAATGGGTGGCGTGGGTGGTTGCCCCTCCTCTGCGCGTGGTCGTTGCTACAGATCCTGCAGGCCATGGTGGATGTGCGGCGTGACCACAACGATTTCTACCTCCAGCGTGAGTGGCGTGCATCCACCACCTTCACCGCCATCACCGCCATCACCACCATCAACACGATCACCACTGCAACCACCAACACAACCAAGACCATCTACATTACCACCATCATCACCACCACAACCATCAGCACCACGACTACCATAACCATCTCCACTACCACCATCATCACCACCACCATCATCACCACCATAATCATCATCACCACCACCACCACCATCATCATCATCATCACCACCACCATCATCATCATCACCACCACCACGACCATTTCCACTACCACCATCACCACTACCATGACAATCTCCACTACCGCCACCACCACCCTGACCATCTCCACTATCCACTATCACCATCATCATCACCACCACCATCTCCACTACCACCATCATCATCACCAAGATCACCACTACCACCACAACCATCTTCACTACTAGCACAACCACCATCGCCACCGCCATCACCATGGTTAGGGGGTTAGGGTGGGGAGTTGGGTGGAGTGGGGATTTGCAACACGTGGTGGTGGTGGCGGTGGTGGTTGTGTTGTACGAACCCGGCGACCCGAGATCCATTCCCACTCACGGTCAACACCAGTGGTGATTATCTGAACTGGTGCTGGGCTTTCCCAGGTCGACTCAGCCTCAAGTGAGGATTTGGCTCTTCTTCTGAACAAAAGAATGAAAGGGGCGTGGGAGCGTGGCGGTGAGGTGTGGGAAGCTGTAAGCCCCAGGCTACTTTGGGCTCGCTTTCCCATCAACCGGAGGTGAGGAGTGGTGGTCGTGGTTACTTATGCCCCCACCGAAGACGAACATCCGTAGAGGGATGCAGGCAAGGCCGATGAGTCAAATGCCTTCTATGACCTGTCACAGGTGCTGGCTAAAGTGGCCCCTTGGGATAGAGTCATCTTGTTGGGTGACCTCAATGCCCGAGTTGGTCATGATGCTGGCACCTGGTCTGGAGTGATTGGATGGCATGGGCCAGATCAGATCAATAACAACGGTAGGAGACTTTTGTGCAGCCCATATATGACGGGTCCAAACAAGAACATATGCTGGAGTATATAGTGACGGAACAGTGGGCCCATGTCCTTGACACCAGAACCTACCGTGGAGCTGATCTGCCCACTGACCATCGACTTGTTATCTGTAAGATGCGTCTGCCATTCTTCCACTCTGGTGGTGGATATACACCCAGGACCCTATTCAAACCCATAGTGGCCTGGTCTCAGCTAGCTGATTAAAGTTGCAAGCAAGAATTTCATCATTGCTTGCAGCTGGGGTTGGCATCGTCCCTACTCCTCCTGATGCCAAGGGGAAATGGGCGAGGTTTAGAACTGTGGCTCATGCAGCTGCAATGGCTGCTTTGGGTACACGGTCCAAACTTCCCCAGAGGCCCTGACTGACAGCATCCCATGTCAGAGAATGAGGAGGCTTACCGCAGCCTTCGCTCGGAGGTTCGGAGAGCCGTGAGGCACTGCAAGGATAGGTGGTGGTCACAGGTTGCTGCTGAGGAAATGGAATTTGCCTCAGTGGCCCGTGATCACAAATCACTCTTTTACTCCATTTAAAAAGTAACCTGCAGCGCCACACCCATTACCATCATAGGGGAAAGAACGGTGATCCAATCTCTGACCCCCAGGAACAGGTTTGCAGGTTTGCTGAGCATTTCTGTGAGTTCTTGGGGAAAGGGAAATCCCTAAGCCTGGAAAACATCATGAGAGTGGGGATGACCCTGCTGATGATGCAGTGCCTCAAATATTGGAAGAAGTCCACCCCCTGTTTGTGGCTGGCTGAGGTGCCAGTCTGGACCACTGGACGGGTTCTGCAGGATTGGAAGGATGCCCTGGTGGTCCTCCTCTTTAAGAAGGGGAACCGCACAGACTGTAACAACTACAGGAGGCATTATTCTTTGGTTCTTTCGGTAAAGTCACGTACGTGACTTTACCGAAAGAACCAAAGAATTCCTGCAGTCACGAAAGCTCCAAATTAAGTTTACAGGGGGCATATCACTCCTCAGTGTGCCGGGAAAGGTCCTGGCAAGGATTATCGCCCTGTCCATCTGCTACAGCAGAGGAGTTGGAGGCGCTGCTGTTGAACCTGGAGCATGCCACTAAGAGGTTGGGCCTTACCATCAGCCCCACCAAAACTAAGCATTTGCCTGGATATATTGTACCATCAGACACTCCACCCCCACAACTCCCAATTGGTGATGGGGTAGTTGTGAAGAGAGTGGAGAGTTTCCCATATCTGGGCAGGGTGTTCATGACCGGCTCTAGTTTGACAGCAGAGGTCTCACTCCGAATCAGTCAAGCGGCATTATTTTGTCATCACCTTTGTAATGCTATGTGGAAGCTACCTGGTCCGTTGCTCCACACAAAACTTCAGATCTTCTCGGCCACCATCATGCCATCCCTTCTCTACGCTTGCGAAACGTGGACACCCCTAATGGAACATTTTCGCCAGTTAGAAACATTTAGGCTGGTCTGCCTATGATCCATTTTGGGTTTAACCAGGCTGGATTGTGTGAGGAGCTCACACATTCCTTGAAAGATCTGGAAAAAGTCCCATCGGTGAGCTCCTCTGGCAGGCAAGGCTGCATTGGCTGGGTCATGTAGCCTGCATGTCCAGCCACCGCATGCTTAAACAGCTTTTGTTCAGCCAGATAGAGGGGGCTAAACGGGCGCGGCATGGGCTAGAGAAGAGATGGAGTGATGTGGTACAGGAGGACGTGGAGCTGAGTGGACTTGCCGATGACTGGTACCAACTGTGTCAAGATCGGCCTCTGTGGAGAAGGCTCGTGAAGGACGCTACTGGGCAGTTGGAGGCAGTCGCCCTCCAACAACAACGGAGGATGGCGGAGCGACACTCACAACAATGAGCGGAGCGCCGGGTGGCTAAAACACAGCAAGTTGGCACAGTAGGCATCACAGGTGGTGCATTGGCCAGTCATCTCAGTCAACCCATGGCACGTGAGTCTGTCCCGTGACCTTCTGGCAGCGGGCATTCGACACTTCACATGGCCTTAACGTGCACCTAGCCTGGCATAAGTGCTGTGGTGACGTCACCGCCACATAGTGGAGAATGGCGGTTGTTGTTGTTGTGGTGGTAGTGGTGGTGGTGTTGAACCGGTGTCTCTGTCTGCGCAGTGCTCACGGCGATAACAGCCGAGCGGTCGCGATTCCGTCTCCACGAGACGATGCACCTCATAACGGCCCCGACCCTCGTCGTCTGGGGCAAGCAGGACCAGGTGAGACCCCCCCCCCCAGCTACTCTGGCGATGACCACGAAAATTATAATGATGACGTCGACGACGTTGATGATGACTTTGGCGACGTTGCCGACGACCACGTTGATGACCACGTTGATGACCACGTTGATGACGACCACGTTGATGACGACCACGTTGATGACCACGTTGATGACCACGTTGATGACGACCACGTTCACGTTGCGGCCCCCAGGTGCTGGACGTGTCCGGCGCGGTGCTGCTCTCGGCGGTGCTGCCGCGGTGCCGTGTGGAGCTGCTGGACGACTGCGGCCACACGGTGACGATGGAGCGGCCCCACGAGACGGCGCGGCTCCTCCTCGCATTTCTCGCTCACACCGAGTCTGGGGGATAGTGGCCAAGGGATAGGGATGAGCAGATAGGGGATAGAGACTAGCGGATAGGAGATAGGAGATAGAGGCTAGCGGATAGGGGATAGAGGCTAGCGGATAGGGGATAGAGACTAGCGGATAGGGGATAAGAGACTAGCAGATAGGGGATAAGAGACTGGTGGATAGGGGAGAGTGGATAGTGGCTCGTGGCTAGGGGCTCGTGGCTAGGGGCTAGTGTCTAGGGGTTTTGGGTAGGGAGCCAAAGGCCCCCTAGAGGCGAGCACTATACAGGATGTGATGTACCGTGTGATACTAACAGGGATGGCGCGGGCTTGAGCCGTGGGGTGCAATAACGACTCTCAGTGCTTGGTCTATCCACTGCTGGATGAGGGCCTCCCCCTAGAGTCCAACGGAGGGGGGGGGGGTATGGGTGGTGACGCCCAACAGGCGAGGTGCAATATTAACGGTGGGCAACGCAAAGGTGCCGATTAGCCGAACCACTGCCGACGGGTGCTACGTCCGAGCGCGTTTCTATCGGTCACGCGATAACGTAATACAGAGTAAATATATATGTACACATTTGTAGTCGTTGTCACCAGCAGGCATGGTCTATCCGTGTGTGTGTGTTTTGAACCTCATTCACACTGTACGTTAAAAAAGGGGGGAAGGACTGCTCGGCACTCTTCTCGTTTGCGGTTGTGCAAGGGCCCCATGTGTGGTGCCGTTCTCGCGTGGTGACGATTACGTGTGGTGACGGTCATTAATTGTGATGGTCATGCGTGTGTGTCCGGTCACGCATTGTGATGGTCATGCGTGCGTGTCCGGTCATGCGTGTGTGTCCGGTCATGCATTGTGATGGTCATGCGTGTGTGTCCGGTCATGCATTGTGATGGTCATGCGTGTGTGTCCGGTCATGCGTGTGTGTCCGGTCATGCGTGTGTGTCCGATCACGCATTGTGATGGTCATGCGTGTGTGTCCAGTCACGCATTTTGATGGTCATGCGTGTGTGTCCAGTCACGCAATTTGATGGTCATGCGTGTGTGTCCGGCATTGCGTGTGTCCGGTCACGCATTGTGATGGTCATGTGTGTGTGTCCAGTCACGCGTGTGTGTCCGGTCATGCGTGTGTGTCCGATCACGCATTGTGATGGTCATGCGTGTGTGTCCAGTCACGCGTGTGTGTCCGGTCACGCGTGTGTGTCCGGTCACGCATTGTGATGGTCATGCGTGTGTGTCCAGTCACGTATGTGTGTCCGGTCATGCGTGTGTCTCCGGTCATGCGTGTGTGTCCGGTCACACATTGTGATGGTCATGCATGTGTGTCCAGTCACACGTGTGTGTCCGGTCACGCATTGTGATGGTCATGCGTGTGTGTCCGGTCATTCGTGTGTGTCCGGTCACGCATTGTGATGGTCATGCATGTGTGTCCAGTCACACGTGTGTGTCCAGTCACGCGTGTGTGTCCGGTCACGCCAAAGGCCTCCTAGAGGCGAGCGCTATACAGGATGTGGTGTACCGTGTGATACTAACAGGGATGGCGCGGGCTTGAGCCGTGGGGTGCAATAACGACTCTCAGTGCTTGGTCTATCCACTGCTGGATGAGGGCCTCCCCCATGCCACGCGAGGGTGGGGGGGGGGGCACGCATGGGAGCCTAGGAGCCTAGGAATAGAGTCCAACGGGGGGGGGGTGGGTATGGGTGGTGACGCCCAACAGGCGAGGTGCAATATTAACGGTGGGCAACGCAAAGGTGCCGATTAGCCGAACCACTGCCGACGGGTGCTACGTCCGAGCGCGTTTCCATCGGTCACGCGATAACATAATACAGAATAAATATATATGTACACATTTGTAGTCGTTGTCACCAGCAGGCATGGTCTATCCGTGTGTGTGTGTTTTGCACTTCATTCACACTGTACGTTAAAAAAGGGGGGAAGGACTGCTCGGCACTCTTCTCGTTTGCGGTTGTGCAAGGGCCCCATGCGTGGTGCCGTTCTCGCGTGGTGACGATTACGTGTGGCGACGGTCATTAATTGTGATGGTCATGCGTGTGTGTCCGGTCACGCATTGTGATGGTCATGCGTGTGTGTCCGATTACGCATTGTGATGGTCATGCGTGTGTGTCCAGTCACACGTGTGTGTCCGGTCACGCATTGTGATGGTCATGCGTGTGTGTCTGGTCACGCATTGTGATGGTCATGCGTGTGTGTCCGGTCATGCGTGTGTGTCCGATCACGCATTGTGATGGTCATGCGTGTGTGTCCAGTCACACGTGTGTGTCCGGTCACGCATTGTGATGGTCATACGTGTGTGTCCGGTCATGCGTGTGTGTCTGGTCACGCATTGTGATGGTCATGCGTGTGTGTCCAGTCACGCATTGTGATGGTCATGCGTGTGTGTACGGTCATGCGTGTGTGTCCGGTCACGCATTGTGATGGTCATGCGTGTGTGTCTGGTCATGCGTGTGTGTCCGGTCACGCATTGTGATGGTCATGTGTGTGTGTCCAGTCACGCGTGTGTGTCCGGTCACGCATTGTGATGGTCATGCGTGTGTGTCCGGTCATGCGTGTGTGTCCGGTCACGCATTGTGATGGTCATGCGTGTGTGTCCAGTCACGCGTGTGTGTCCGGTCACGCATTGTGATGGTCATGCGTGTGTGTCCAGTCATGCGGGTTTGTCCGGTCACGCATTGTGATGGTCATGCGTGTGTGTCCAGTCATGCGTGTGTGTCCAGTCATGCGTGTGTGTCCGATCACGCATTCTGATGGTCATGCGTGTGTGTCCAGTCACACGTGTGTCCGGTCACGCATTGTGATGGTCATGCGTGTGTGTCCGGTCATGCGTGTGTGTCCGGTCACGCATTGTGATGGTCATGCGTGTGTGTCCAGTCACGCATGTGTGTCCGGTCACGCACTGTGATGGTCATGCGTGTGTGCCCAGTCATGCGTGTGTGTCCGGTCATGCATTGTGATGGTCATGCGTGTGTGTCCGGTCATGCGTGTGTGTCCGGTCACGCATTGTGATGGTCATGCGTGTGTGTCCAGTCACGCATGTGTGTCCGGTCACGCATTGTGATGGTCATGCGTGTGTGTCCGGTCATGCGTGTGTGTCCGGTCACGCACTGTGATGGTCATGCGTGTGTGCCCAGTCATGCGTGTGTGTCCGGTCATGCATTGTGATGGTCATGCGTGTGTGTCCGGTCATGCGTGGTGACGGCCACGCGTGTGTGTTCGGTCACGCGTGGCGATGGTGCCAGGCACTGAGCGGGGACGCGGCCACGCTGAGGGCTCAAATGGCACCGTTGCCACACAAGTCGCGTTGACTACCTCGCCTGGTATGCAGGAGGTCGTGGATTCGATCCTGACCCTGACGATGCCTGCTGCTGCTGCATATTTGGAGTTTGCGTCTCTCGCTTGGATTTTTGACTGGGTCCTCCGATTTCCCTTCCATATTTTAGAATCACCATCGCGCATTTGGAGTATTTGTTTCCTGCTTTAAATTTTCACGTGATGATGATGATAAGCCGGTTACTTCGTTGAACCATCATTTGTGATAGCCAGGGGTCGCTTCTGAAAAAGATCCACAAAGCAGCTCAGTTGGGCCTTACCTGGTGACGTAACAATAGTTTAGTATGAGAATAGGTTTTCCCCTTTTTTGGGAACAAAACAGGTGTTAAGATGTTAAAACACCAAACTTATAATATATGGCATTGTCTTTGAAACTGATTGGTCCACACCAGAGACAGCTTTCTTTTGAGCCCAGTTTAAAAAATTGTGTTAGACCAGAGGATGCATATATTATCATGTATGTTTTTATTTGCAAAAACATACTCTGGAGACGTGATTCAATCTTGATTGTAAGCTTTCGTGACTGCAGGAATCCAGACTCTTTGGTTCTTTCGGTAAAGTCACGTAGGTATAAAAATAAAATAAAAAATAATATATCACGACGTTTCGATCGCAACACAAGCGGTCGTCCTCAGGCGATGTAGCTGCCAACATATACAACCTCTTGTTGTAACACCTCTCTCGCGGTGTTCTTCCTGGTTCAGCAGTTCCACTGCTGGATATTTTTTTTTCCGCCTGAGGACGACCGCTTGTGTTGCGATCGAAACGTCGTGATATTTTATTTTTTATTTTATTTTATTTTTCTACCTACGTGACTTTACCGAAATAACCAAAGAGTACAGACGTGATTCCTTGTAAAAGGTTTCAGTTTGGTGTTTTAACATCTTGACACCTGTTTTGTTGCCAGAAAAAAGGGGAAAACCTATTCTCATTTTGGGACTGGCAAAGGAGTAGTTTAGTAAGCCGTACACCAGGCATGTCCAAAGTCCGGCCCGCGGGCCAATCACGGCACACGGTCAGATTTCATACGGCCCGCAGCTTCGGTCTTATAATGTGTTATTTATGGCTCGCTATCTCTGTCAGAATAAATAAATCATAAAACTTCCTCCTTCCGCCACACGGTGGCAGCACCATTCTAATGCCCTCTGGCTTTGCATACGTGCCGCGAACCCTTCTCGAATTATTTCTGCCATGGCGATTGCAGTTGGAATTACAATACTTCTTCACTGGAAATCGAGGCAATTGTGTTTGTCTAATTTGTAAAGAGACGGATGCCTTTTTTTAAGGATTTCAACATAAAGAGACACTACAAGACTAAACATGCTACAACATACAACAAGCTAACAGGGAGTGACCGCGCTGAAAAAGTGAAGCAACTCCGTGCTGCTCTGCCATCGCAACAGCGATTCTTCACGCGGGCCGGTGAGTCAAAGGAAAACATCACCAAAGCCAGCTACGAAGTGGCCATGTTAATAGCTAGACATGGCAAACCTTTTACTGAAGGTGCATTTATCAAGACTGTCATGAAAATGGTGGAGAACATTTGCCCTGAGAAGAAGCAAGAATTTATGAATGTTTGCCTGGCATGCAACACTGTGGCACGGAGAGTTGACATATCGTCAGATATTCAGAGACAACTGGGGGACAGGGGAGTGGCTTTTGATTATTTCTCATCAGCCTGCAATGATGCATCTGACACTGCACAACTAATTATTTTTTTAAGAGGAGTTGATGACAACATGAACGTGACAGAGGAGCTGCTTGACCTCAAAAGCCTTAAAGGGCAAACCAGAGGAACAGATTTTTTCGTTTCTGTTTGTGAAGCTGTTGATATGAAACTACCATGGAGTAAAGTTTCTGGGATCATTACCGATGGTGCGCCTGCCATGGCTGGTGAGCGAAGTGGATTGTCCACACTGATCTGCAATAAAGTCAGCGAAGAAGCAGGCAACGCTTTTAAACTTCACTGTATCATTCACCAGCAGGCTGTCTGCGCCAAACATCTCAAATTTGACGATGTTATGAAACCAGTTGCAAAGGCAATCAATTATATTCGCTCTAAAGCTCTATACCACTGACAGTTTCAGCAGTTCTTGCGTGACATCCAGTCTGAATACGGTGACGTAATATATCACAACGATGTGAGGTGGCTAAGTCGGGGGTCCGCACTGCAGCGATTTTTCTCTCTCAAAGAGGAAATTGGACATTTTTTGGGTGAGAAGGGACAACCAATGGAAGAACTGTCCGATCCTGTATTGTTGGCAAATCTGGCTTTTTGGTTGACATAACGAAGCATTTGAATGCGCTGAATGTTAATCTTCAAGGAAAAGATGCAGTGGTGAGCCAGCTATATGCTCACATCAAGGCCTTTGTAACCAAACTGCAACTTTTCCAAAGACACTTGTCCCAAACAGAGCCCTGCACTGCGCACTTCCCAGCTTTGAAAGAGGTCATTGACAGTTTCCCACAGGACAACATCGGTGCGCAAATGAAGAGTTATGCAACAGCTATCGCATCTCTTTCTGTGGAATTTAACAAACGCTTTCGGGACTGTGCAGTTATTGAAAAGGACATGTTGCTTTTCTCTTCTCCCTTCTCCGTGGACCCTGATGATGCTCCTCCACAGCTGCAGCTAGAGCTCATTGAGCTGCAGTGTGACGATGAGTGCCACGGAAAACACCAGCAGTGTTATCTTGTTGACTTTTACTGGCAGCTGGACAAAAGCAGGTTTCCAGAAATGCGGTCATTCGCTAACAAAATGCTGAGCTTATTCGGCTCCACATATTTGTGTGAGCAAACATTCTCAGTCATGAACTTAAATAAGAACTGATTGAGGTCAAGGATGAGTGACTCCCACTTGCGTGACATTTTACGCATCTCAACCACTGCCCTCAAGCCAGACCTGGTCTCTTCACTGAAATCTATATCTCAGTATCACCCTTCTCATTAGTATCAGCAAGTTATCTGTTCCTTGATCAATCTGAAATTGAGTGTTTTGAACGGTATCATCTGTCACTATTAACAGTGAAAGCCTAAAGCACACTTGTTTTATTAAACTCTTGAATAAGATTTGGTTATAACTGTTGATGTTATGCACCTGTAGATGTGACACAAACTATTGCTTTCTGAAAGATCTTGTAAAAGGCAAGGGCAAAATTCACTCATTTTAAAGTTTAATGATAACAGACCACTTTGCATTACTTATAACTCCTGTTTAAAATGTTCATGAGGTAAAGATATTTAACTCATGGAAATTTAAAGTATTCTATACAGTTTGTTCAATGTTATCTGACTGAATGAAAGGCAGAATTGAGTTTTTAGAGTTGTCACGTCTGCCTGAGTGACTTATATTTGTTACATTGTCATTTGAAAAATAAGGTAATTGTGACAATGAATTTTTTTTATTACAGTGTGTGTTTTCACGTAACTTTTGTGGTAAAAAAATGTCGGAAGGAACTATTGTCTCCCGGGCATCTTCACTTTATCAAATTTGGCCCTCTTTGCAAA